AAAATACTAAAATGGGGAATTATCAGTTATCTTATTGGCATCTGCCATGAAAAGCAGGTAATTATTGATTATCATATTGGTTGTAAAATGAAAAATAAATACATATCGTGCATCCCCATGATCTAATTTAAGAAATAAGCCTTTCTGTTCTGTTCCCTTAACGCATAATATCTTTATTCTTTGCCCTCAGTAGCAAACAGTAGATGATGCTGACACATTTAGGACTAAACACATTTTATTTGAATGCAACTTTACCAACTTCCACACTAAGTAAATACAGTAAGCCTTCACAGCCTCTGGATGAAACCCAGATTTTAGAAAAGCACCTGTCCGGAGGTGATTTGACTTTTGGAAACTAGAGCCAATCAGAATTGGGGACCTCGTCTCAGTATGTGATGGATACAAATGGGGTGCAGTCCTACATACACACCTTGTTTTGTCCCTGTGGGGAAATTGTTTCTGCCACAGTAGCAATTAAAAACAGCAGCAGTAGCACAGGGTGTGACACACAGATACAAAAAAAGCCACACATGCATAACACACAGTAATAAAAACACATAAAACCGGAATAAAAGGTACACATTTATGAAAGAACAGTTGGGTTGGAGATGTGCTGACGTTACCCAGACTTAATGGAGCCATCGGTCTGCTGGGTCTCAAAGATGTTGCTCTTGATATTGAGTTTTTCTGTTTGAGGTTGAGAGATGCGTCCCGGCAAATGCATGAAAAAGGAAAAAACAATAAAAGATTGATAAAGTGTCATCCCAGAGTTCACAGACCAAACCAGACCAGACTAAAATGTTACTGTTAGCTCCTTTTGGACTTTTTTTCCCCCTCCTGAGTTCAACCCTTCTCTCTCTTCCTTTTCACCCTCAGGCTGAAGAAGACACCAACGCTGAAGACGACTCTTACAACTCCTTCCAGTACTGGAGGACTCCCTTACCTGAACTCGACCTTTCCCTGCTCGAAGATCCCAGCGACAGTTCCCAAACCAAAGACAAAGCAAAAGTCAAAGACCCTTCTTCTTCCGACGCCATGGAGACCTGAAGGTGGAAGGCGCTTTCACTCCGTCCTACGTGATGCTGTTTAGCAGATAGATGGGTCAAGAGCACCTTTGAGGTTGCATCCAGGTTGAGATGGAATAACCTGATTGTGTGGAAGCAAAGTTAGCTCCGTCAGAGTGACACAGGCTGTAGTAGTGAGCCTCATGTTGGTGCAAGATCTCAACGACTCGTGTAACGTAAGGAAGAGATCTTCAATCCTGTTCTTACAGAGGGGGACCGAAGTGTTATTGTAACGCTCTCTGAAGGGTTGCCCATCCATCCTCAAACTGTACATAGTTTACTTGTAAAGTTGTGTGATCGGGCAACCTGGTGTACAACTTTTTGTTCGGTGCAGAGTCCCTACGTTGCAAACCTAGTATTTTATACAATCATTTATATCCTGTTGTTAAAGAAATTGGGTCTGTACATAGCAGTGCATTATAAACACACTGTTCTTCAGACTGTTGTTTGGTGTAACTTTTGTTGTTTGTAGAGTGTTCTGTAATAACTTTTATTGCATGTTATTGTTGCACAGCTGGTTGTCATGACTCCTGTGTGATTTTTATTTTGGTTTACTTAAAAATATTGACTTTTTTTTATCAATGTCAGGGGTGGTGCCATGGGATGAACAGAAAAAGGGAATAAACCAGAAGTTTAGATGTTTAAAGGCATCCATAAATTAAATATATTCTGTAACAGCTACAAAATCTAACTTTACAGAGAGAAATGCAGCAAATAATCAGAATCAGAAAGAATCTTTAATAATCCCAGGGGGAAAT